CGCTAAGAATCAGTAACATAATTCACAACTCACACAAAAATTTAAGAACTTTCTGATCCAATCCATCGATTTTGCTTATCGCAGCTCTAACATCACACGCGATAATTCATGTATATATGATTGAATTTTAGAAACCAGTAAAAAATTCGCTCTCTTAGGCACAGTAACGCCAAGAATCAGTAACATAATGCACAACACACACCAAATTTAAGAACTTTCTGATCTAATACGAAGCAATAAAAAAAGGAAAAGCTCAATTGATTTGGCTTCTCGCAGCTCCAACATCAACATTCGATAATTTATGCATATTTAATTAAATTTAGAAAAAACCCAGAAAGATGAAAAGTCAACCAACACAGTCGTCTGGTTAACCTGAGGAAGCATGAACATATGTCGAAAAATCTTACACAATCTGAAGAATCCAAACATTTCCAGGACAAACCATCTTGATTCCGAGAAAGCAGGACTTCCCCAAGATGATCCAAGAAAAAACACCCGCTCGTGGCAGACAATTCACCGTCGCGATCCACATTACTGCCGGAATCGTCGTCCAACCCAGAAAAACTAGAATCCTCATGCACTCCATCCATTTTTACTCGGAACAAATTCAAATCGGTATTGCTTTAGCTTGCGAGATTAAAACTTTCGAAAAGAGAAAAAAATGTAATCCTAATTTAGATTTTGGTAGTAAGAAGCTAAGAACGTCAATGATTTTACTTTTCTTTCGGACGAATGATTTGAAAGATTGTAGTTATAAGAGAATTTCTACATCTGATTGGAGAATTAATGGCCTAATAGAATAGTTGGGCCGGGCCTAGTATTAATTATTAATCCAAATATAAATTACATGAAGATAAGCTTATTGTTTTGATAATTAAATTGAAAATCTGTGGTGATCTCCGAAATCATTGATCTAAGGCTATCTTATTATATAAACTAGATTTTGATCAACATGTTGTGTAGATTTATTTATTAATTTAATTTTAAATTTTATATGTTTATACTACTAATTTATTCTATATTATAATGCATTATATTTGTTTCTTTTTAAAAATGTTTTATTTTATTTTTTGGGTTATCCTAAAATATATCCTACTACTATTAAAAAAAGGATTTTCTGGATTTTATTTTTGTTTCATATGTTTTAAGTTTTTTATACATTTTTTTAGTCAATGATGAAGAATTGTAAACTTCAAGAGAATTAATTAAAATTATTTAATTATTATTGATTTAAAATTGTTAATCATACAAAATAATGTATTTATAATCAAGTTTTAATATGTTTTCTTTATATGTGTAGAACATAAAAAATATCATTTTTTTATGAAGGGAGAGAGTATATATCTATACTGATTTTTTCTCTTATTTCATGCAAGCTTCCGTTTCATTCAGTTTTGTGATTGGTTATAATTCTAAGTGAGAAAAATTGTAGTTAGAGTGGTCGAGATAGAGCAAGAGCTTTGTTCATATGTTACATATGTTTGATAGGTTTTTATATCAAACATTATGCTTACTTGATAAATAACTGATTTTAATTGATTTGAGGCGTTTATCTTCTTTGAAAAAGCAAATCTGATGTGTCCATCTATCTATCTGACGATGATGAACTATCTGACTATATTTTCGAATGTGTGTGAAAATATTTTTATCTATTTTCATGTCATGTAGAGATAAACGACCTTAACCTGGTGGTTCGTCCTAGCCGCTAGTGAGAGAAAGGAGAAAAAGAGCGATTTTGGTTTTTGCCTCTCCAGTGTCCGGTGGTCTCCGCCGGCATTGTGAGAGGGTGGGTTTCTTCTTGTTTTCTTCTCTTTGTTCTTAGATCGTTTCTGTCTTCGGTTTGTTGAGGGTCTTGTGGTTCTTTTGGCGATTTTGAAGCAAAGATTTTCCATCTCCGTTGTGGTGATGGTTTCTGTGGCGGCTCTATTTTCGGGCGGTGTACGATGGAGGAGCGTCTCGAGTTTCGGTGGTGGTTTGTAGTCAGATCTGGCTTTCTGAAGAGTGTGGGGGTTTATTCCGGTGGATCTGCAGCGCTGGTGAGGAGCAGGCGTTTGTCGCCGTTATTTTCTTCTGCCTATCTAGTGGGTTGTTGTTTTCTTTGAGTAGTGGTGTCTTCTCGCAGGCAGATTCTGAAACCCAAGCATGGGTCAGAGCGGTTTCTGAGTGGTTTTGCAGATCTGAGTTTCATAGCTTCAATAGATTGGAAGCATTTTTGAAACTCTGAAAGATCTTCAATCCTTAAGCTTATTAATAGAGAGAAGTGTTTTTATTCAATTTCAGCAGCTTCAGGTGTGCGTCATTTGGCTCAGTTTTTGGTTTCATCTTGTATCTCAATTTCGTTTGTTCTTAGTTGGTTTTTAGTAAGTATTAGTTAATGGTTCCCAATGTTTTGGGTTTCTATTTCTATGATTTTCATTCTTTTGTGAAATTATTGGAAATAGATGTATTTCTCCCTTGTATCACACCCTGTATCATACTTTGTATCTTTTCAAGATCTAATATTATCAGATGACAAAAAAAAGAGATAAACGGCCTATCTTTGTTAAAAAAGTATAATAGATAATCTTGTTTTAGTTGATTTATATATTTTATATTAAAACTCATATATTATTCAACTGATGAGTAAAGTCATTGAATATCAATTTTGTATTGACATTGTTGATAAATAAATGATTGATAAGTATTTGCCGGATTTTTTTCTCATTTGTTTCAATCAAGCTTATTTCTATATTATATAATTAAACATTTTGGTTTTCTTTATTCATGAAAAACTTTTATTCGTTTTACTTTAATTTATGCATTAATCTTTTTGAAGTTTTTTTTTTAAGTTTGATAATTATTCTCCACAAATTATTCTGTTGTCTTTCATAATTCTTCACCTTCCAACTTGTTTTACACATTTTCCTTGTTTATATTTGAAATCATATTTTAAATTATTTATTTCATAGAAAATTTGTAAGTTTTTATGGTTTGTAAAATATGTATTTATTTTATATGATTGATTTTACTTTAGCTTTCATAGGGTTTTTTTTTAAGTTTGATAACTATTCTCAATAAGTTTTTCCGTCATCTTTTGTATTTGTTTGCCTTCAAAACTTTTTTTCACAAATAGAAAATTTATAATTTTTGTGGGTTATTGAATTAGTGTTTATTTTTAATTTTAAATTAATATCATATAAATACCCAAAATATATAAAAGCTTATAAAATTTTCAAATAAATATTTAGAAGCCAAATTTAAAACTTAAAAATTGCTGAGGTGGACAGTCTAGATGGAGAAAAAATTATCTAATTATATATATAATTTTCTATTTTATATTGGTTATTTTTAGCAAAACAAAATAAATTCACCATTAATCCCACTTACTCTGTTTATTTCTTATTCAAAATCATATATTTATATTATTACATATTTTAATATTTGTTTTTAATTTTAAATGTTGTTGTAGTTTATTTATTATCATAAAATATGTAGATTTATTATGAAGTTATTTTTTAATATAAATTATGATGTGTTAATTGTTATAAAAAAATTTGTTCTTATATTTATATGTTTTTGTACATATCTTTATGCATTTGAATTTTTTATATCACTTTTTTAAGTTAGATCAACAAATTAAATTCACCATCAATCTTAAATATTCTCTTTATTTCTTATTCTAAAGAGTATTTGTTGGGACCGGTTTTACCTAGTCCAAAGAAGACCCGACAGGTAGACGTTGAACTATCCTAAACACTGACACACGTCATGTTACCTTGGCCGAACCACTCCCGCGTATTGTTTCCGGGCAGTTAGCGAACTTCTCCAAATACGCAAGAATCATCAACCCACATGTTTCCCTGGCACACCTAATGGAGAAGACAGGACAAAGAGACTGCTAGTATAAATACTATAAAAGGAGAGAGATCACCACACCATAAGGAGATCGGCTCGGCAGATCTAAAATTCCTTTCAAGGAGGAGGCACCCGACCAAACCGAGTCAACATACACCGTCGAACAACATGATTAAGGGAGAATTTCTTATTCTTCCGAGAGAATGCCTACCAGGATAAGTTCCTCTCGATCCGGAACCTAGCTTTTATATTCACTAAACCTCCTTCCATTTGTATAGAATCCCTCTTGAAACACTCATAAATAGTTAGACGTCTCGATCCCTGGACAAGGTTCCTCACACTAAATCCGTAGAAACACCCTCCTAAATACTTGTTCTAGGTAGGATGTTTATTAACTTGGACGTCGGAGAACCTTCGGAAGAAAAACCCCTTTTCGGTCTTTCCGGAGGCCCGATTGACATTTTGTGTAGTGTTTGCAGGATCGCATATAACGACCACTCTGTTACCAAGATCCAAGCAGGCTTCTGCCCCGGAACGACTCATCGCCTTTTTCCCAAAAGACGAAATTCGGAAACACAACTTCACTCTCCAAACGAATTATACATTCCCACGTGGCATCCCAAAATTTTTTCCTGAATAATATTAAATGTTTATTTTTTATGTCATGAATATCTACCAGATGTATATAGAAAGCCACTAAAAAATTAAAATTAAATAATTTATAATTTATTGTAGTTTGTAAAATATTTATATATTCAAAATATGTAAAAATCTATAGAAAATAAAAAAAATTAAAGTTCATATAAAAATAAAAAAAACTGCTGATAATTTATAGTTTTTTTGTAGTTTGTATTTTGTAGAATGTGTATATATAAAATATGTAAAAGTCTATTAAAAATAAAAATTTAAAAGCCTATAAAAAATTAACAAAGTTGATGATGTTGACAGATTCATTGGAAAATTTTGGCAAATTATATATATATATATGATTTGATATATATTACCATATTAATTGATAATTTCAAAAATCGCACATAAAATAAATCTATAATAATCAAATTATTAATGCCTTCTGAGACTAAATTTTATATCTAAGTAAAGTTTTTTCTTCTAAAGTTAAAGTTAAAGTTAAATAGCAGATTTTCTTGTACTCTCAATAAAAATTAATATGTTGTATTGTTCCTGATAACAATGCCTAAGATTAAGACAAGATTACAGTAACACCGTCAGCTCAGACAGAGACTCCTCGATTTGCCAATGCCAAACAACAAACAGTCAAAGCAGAAGAGCAACTTCCTCCATACGAACACGCTCCATTCCAAAATCCCTAGTTTTTGTACATCACACCACTTACCAAAATTGTTAAAGTAAGCACACTTCAAACAAGATGGTTTCTATGATTAGCCTTAAAATCCCACGGTTAGTCCAAAAAATTAAAGAAGATACTGCTTTCTCTCTTAATGCACACAATCAAATAATGCAACACAGAAACAATGTCGTGAAAAGTTAGTCTGGATCTCTAAACAGAAATCACACCTGCCACATGTAAGCTCGAAATTTATCATATCAGAGAGATCACATATTGAAAAAAGTAACATAAGAAGCAATTTTTGAGTAAAAGGAGAGTTGAAGACAAGATTTAACACACTGGTCACCCGCTAAATATGAGTATTATGAAAGGAAACATGAACCCGGAGAGACATATATATATAGTCCTACAAAAGAGTAGCAGCAATTATTATCAGTAACATGAATAATAATATCATAAGAAGCCTTTCTGAAGCGCGCAACTGTATGAATTTGGGAGCCTTCCAAGCCTGAATCTCTGCATATTTCACAACATCATAGCAAGGGGTTAAGATGTGAGTCCCAAAGATGTAAGAAATCATGGTACAAGAGCTCCATGAAACATCACACCTGAAAAGAAATTAGACAATAGGAAGAAAACAAAAGATTGGTGTTAATGAGCCGTATACAATAATAACAGAGAGACAAGCTTTTTGGAACAACCTATGCTAGTGGCAGTTTAGATCTTGTAAAACTGGAAACAGATTAGTGACAAACAAAACTAAAACCACAAGGTAGATATTGACATATATTGGAACATCCAACTCCCGAATTCTATGAATTAGAATCGGATACCAGAACAGATGCTCCTTTAGCTGTGGGATTGCTCACAAACACACCACTGACCATATTAATGGCCTACAGCAATTAGTTATCATGTGACAAAACTATAAACAAAGAAATACGTAAAACATGCAGTATCACAAAACATGCTCGACTTGGTTTATCCTGCAACTGCAAGTGTAAAAAATGATGTTGGGAAAAAAAAAAAAAAATTTCTAAAACGTTGGAGAACTTTTGAGGAAGAAAACTTTTTTTATCATATGCTAAAGCGGTATGATTCAATTTCAAAACCATGTAGGGAGAACAAACAAAAACATCAAAATGAGGACGTCTTACCTCTCCACTAAGGAGTTTCTCCTCAGAACACATATGCTACTTCATCTCAGCCATGAACTTCTCATACTCAGAATCTCCAACAGCGGATGGATTCTCTGCAGGTGGCTGTACCGGAGGCTTGGGAGCCCAGGGTACGTTCCCCATGCCCTGTGAATAACCAACAGATGGTGGCATAGGAGGATTAGGCGCCCAAGGTGGATTAGCTAGACCTTGTGAGTGATCTGTAGACGAGGCCGGTACTGGAGGTGGTGGTGGAGGAGGAACAGCATTGTAATAAGACGGATAACTCATATATGGAGGCTGTCCAGGCAAGTTTGAAACCGAGCTACCATAGACATTTGGTGGCACAGATGAAGCAGGAGCACCATTGTCTGCTTGTACGCCTGGTGGGAAGCCTTCACTAGAAGCGGTGCCAGGAGGAGGAGCTTGTGTCACATGAGGAGGAGGAGGTGGTGGTGGGTAGTGCATTCCATAAGGAGACATGTGTTGACCAGGGACAGGATGATAAGAGCCTGGAGGAGGAGGTGGAGGAGCGTATGGAGAGTAGGAAGGAACAGGAGGACCCCAAGGAACCGGGGCTGACGAATATGGAGGATTTGGCAATTGCCCACCGGCGGGTGCGTATTGTTGCGAAGGATAAGCACCAGGCGGCTGGTTTGGAGGAGGATAAGCTTGAGACGGTGGATGAGATGCTGGGGGTCCAGGAGGCGGTGGCTGTTTACCGGCTATTCTGACAGCAAGCGTTTTACCTTCTAACCAATAGCCGTTCATCGCCTGTACAGCGGTATTCGCCATCTGTACATCGGCATACTTCACAAAACCATAGCCTCTGCTCAGACCAGACACACGGTCCTTGATTACCTTTGCCATCACGATTTCCCCAAAGGGTGAAAAAAGATTAATCAAGCCGTCGTCCTCAAGCATCGTAGGCAAGAACCCAATGTACAAGTTTGTTTCGTCGTATTCTTTGGAGGGTTTTGCCGGAATCGACCCTAAGCCTGGATGAGCGCTTGCTCCACTGCCAGCATCGTTAGCCCATGGAGGATTACTTCCCGAACTCCCCGGACCAAGAGCCAAAGTAGCACTACTCTGTTTGAGAGAAGATTCAGGGACAGTTCCTCCCAACTCCGCCAAAAAGTTCTGATATTCGTCGTCCATCTTCTTCCCGGTGGTACCCTTCACAGGGCAATCAATAGTAGGGTGTCCCCCATCACCACAAATCTTGCAAAGAACATCACTTTTAAAAGTATTCGTACGAGACGGACAAGCATACTGTCTATGTCCTGGCTCACCACACAGCCTACAGAATTCTTCATCCCTTATTGTTCCATTCAAAGTGGCAAGCTCCCTGAGCTGTTGCCTCTTGTGTTCGTTAAGCACCTCATCAACAGGTTGCAGGAGCTTCTCAACCATACCAGCAGCAGCTTCAAGAGCTTCCTGAGTCTCAGCCTCGACTAAAACATGCAAGTCCTCGTTTTCCGAAGGGTCGTATTTCAAATCCTTCTTTTGCTGGAGCCTACCTTCTTTCACAGAGCCTTTACCCCGAATCACAATCTTAGCACCAGTTTCCCTCTCCATCCTCTTCTGAGTATTTCCCCTGGGACCAATAATAAGACCGATGAAATTGTAACCGGGAAAATCCTTCATCGGGATGAAAAGCTTCTTCTGGAGCTTGGGAGGTCTATAATCCGCCGGGGGTTTAAAAGCTGGATTCTTTTTGATGATCTGAGAGATGATCTCTTGCCTTTCTCTATTCAACCTCTCCCTTGCTCTGTACTCCCTAGTGTTTATCCTAATCCCCATGTTATCATACACTGGCTCTGGTGAAGGAGACCTCTGTCCTTCGGGTCTATCATCCAAAGCCATACCTGACTGAAGCATCCTACTGATCTCAAGTAATCTACTATTCAAAGCCTGAATCTCTGGATCGAACTCGATACCTCCTGCGAAATCCTTCATGAAATCCGGTAGCTGGATCAAAGGCTTCGGCTCATCGTCTGCCCATCTCGACTTACGCTTCCTCGTCCCAGTACCGGAATCACCACCTTCGGCGCTAGTGTTATTAGTCGACTCGGAAGGCGGAGGATCCCACCGGCTACGACGCTTTCTCCGGCTTGTGGTCTCCTCCTCACCACCGGATTGATTGTCGTTGCCACTCAGCGTCTTGCTAACGCCGTTCTCCGATAACAGAGGGCGCAGGAGCTCAGGCTTTGCTACCGAACCGTTTGTATCGGGCACAGGAGCTGAATAACCATTTAGAGCCTCAGGAGACGAAATCGGTGGGTTTGGGTGATCCGAAGCTAGAGAAGCAGTGTCTTCCTTTGAGGAAACTAAAGCTTTGGAGGAAGGAGGAGGTTGATCTAGGGTATGCGAAGAAGGATTGGAATCGTTCAATTCGACTGAATCCATAGCTAACTCAAGAGCTAGGGTTTCAGATCCAGGAGAAAGCAGAGAGAGACAGAAGAAAGAGGAGGACGATGTAGGGTTAAGATAGCGCGAATTTGCGGAACTATCGAAAAGTACACAAAGAAGATTCTCGATTGAACCGAGGCGGTTTAGCTCTGTTGGGCTGGGTCAGGCTTAGGCCTATGATAGGAGTTCCTCATCTGTTTTAGAAGCGATTAAACTTAGGCTATAACTGGTGATCATAAGAAATAGAAATGAATACTAAATTCCTTCTCATTCCTTAAAAATTACACCATTTAAAAGGAATATATTGTACTTATGATTCCTTTTCATTCCTTATATTTTAGGGAACTATAATGTTAATATATTCCTTATAAAAAATAAGAAGGAACAATAATTCCTATTATTTTGTTCCTTTCATTCCTTTTTCTATTCATCCATATTATTACTTTTATAGTCACTAGTTAAAACCTTACTCTAAAACAATCTCATCTGGAACCAAACTTACTCTAAAACAGTCTCACCTTCCAAAATTACTCTAAAAGTTTTAAAATATTAAATAAAAATTCTAACATTAATAAAAAGAACCGTTAAAGATTAGTTTTGTTTTTTATAAATTTTTCTTTTCTATGTGGGCTATTATATTTTTTATTATGGTTGATTCAGTAAAATTTATTTAGTGAAAGAAAGAAACAGATTAATCCTTTTAAAAGGTATATATTTTTGTGGTATAAAAAGTGAGTGTAGAAAACAAAAACTGTGATCGAACATTTTCTTTGTCGGCTATTATATTCTTTTTATGATTGATTCGTAAAATTTATTTAGTAAAAAAAAAAACTTTTCAATGTTTTCTAAGTATAAATTGAGTGTAGAAAGCAAAAAGTGTGATCAGATATTTTTGTATATGTAAATAATATAGAAACAAATATGAAATGGAGGAAAAGTGAAATAAAATAGTTGTCATTCCATGAACATAGCTTTAATCCTAACTATTACCTGAGAATGAGGTTTACTAAAAAAATCCTATGTATGAACATCTTAAGAAAAGTTAGTGCAAAACAATGTCACCTCATAAATGTGATATGGCAAATTTTCTAAAATAAATAAAATGTTTTGATTGGTTAAGTTAAAACTAAATAAATCTCATTTTTAAATAAGAAAAAATAGTTTATATCATATATGAATGAATTCTCATTATATAGCAAAAATTCAAAATTATAAATGAAACAAAACAAAATAAAAAGATAAAAAATTAAATTATAAGTATCCTTTTAGCTAACTTTTTTATTATACTACTGTATATATGAATAAAAAGTAGAAGTAAAAGTAAAAATAAATCTTTACGACTTTGGTTTTATGTAAAAATCTCAGGTTATATTTTTGGTTTAAAGCATCTTCAACCCACATTTATTTTAAATCTTATAATTTAGAGGAAAAAGAAAGGTTGTTATTTTTTCCTCCAGCTATAGAGGAAAAAATAACAATCTTTTTCTTGTAAAATAGAACTAGGTTGGAGAGAAGTTCACTTATATTTTAGAGGAAAAAAGTAGAAAAATACATTAGAGATGATCTTAATATTAAAAATATTATTAAATATTAAGAAAAAAATATGAGTCAAAGAAGACAAAAAAATTGAAATATTTAAAAATATTATTTTACACATATTAATTCTTTCATGCATATATTTTTCCAATATATTAAAATATTATTTTATGAATCAAGTTTTGTATATGTTGTGATCCATTATAGTTTATATTAACAAATATATTAAAGTTAGGAACATATCAACTCTTAATTTTTAATAACAATCAAATATTAAATATATTATTTTACACCTTAAATCATACACATATAAGTTTAGATTCGATTAGTTATAAAGATTCGGTTATAGAGAGTTTGTGGAAGCGAGCGATTGCAGATTATAAAAATTTTGACGAAGATAAGAGCGGAGAGCTACCGAAGAATTTTATAAAATATGATTTCACAAATTTTATAACAAAATTTTATTATATTTTTATTGAGAAACCATAAATCATCAAACGCCAAAAAATAAAAAAACTTTGATTAAACAAAACGATAGAAATGATTTTCGTGATTGTTGTTAAACGCCAATAACTGCATCGTGTAAAAACATAACGTTTGCGGAAAATACCAGAAAAAAAAACTTACCAACACCTAACTATAACAATTCACTTATTTCTAACTCATACCAACATGTATAAATATATTTATTTATTTTTTTAAAAAAAATCAACCATACATTATAAAAATACATATTACCAAAACATATACTTTGTTATTTTCTTTTAATACATAAAAGTCCTACTTTGATTTTTCTATAAATATGCGTGTAGATATTTATATTATTATTTGTGAAGTCAGAAACTCACCACAGCTCCTCTCAGAGGGGTTAGCGCCTTCTGCCCTTAGTGGTAATTTTCAGATTTTAACTAAATCGGTTGGTTTGGTTTGGTTTGATTTTCAATCACATATTTCAAACCCTAATAATATTAACACTGGTTTTGGACCGTGGCCCACAAATCTAATTTAATGAAAACCATAATCTATATATATAAAATAAGCTTTTCTCTCCTCTGGTGTTGCCACCTCAGCAATCCATTCATTAATTATTTTTCATTTAATTTTTTTTAAAACACCAAATAACATTAACATTCAATATATAAAAATAGTAAATATTCAAAAGTAATTATAATACACAAAATATTAATATTTAATATAAATTTACAAAAATAAATAGACAATTATAATATGTTGTCAGAAAATAAAATAAAATAAAACTAAAAAATAATTACATACATTAGCTCTAAGTATTTTAATATTCAAGGCTGATTTCTGCAAGTGTATGATGGAATTGGTAATTAAAAAGACGGAAAACAATACAAATTAACATTAACATTCAATATAAAAAATAGCAAACATAAGAACACAATTATAATGTATTGTCAGAAAATAAAAACCAACCAAATACAAAATAAAAAAATAAAAAAATAATGATATACATTAGCTCTAAGTATTTTATGATTGAAAACAGCTCGATCATAAAATATATGATATTAAATATAGGTACCTGCCATGATTTTGTTGTTGAGATAATTTTGGGGTGAAAATATGGAGAGATGAGGGAAGCTTTAGGATGGTATTTGTAGGGCGGATGAAGGGGAGCAATTGAGTGTGCGAGTTGAGTAGTGGGGGTCGCATTGAAGGTGGTATAATGAAGGAACGTGGAATTAATGGTTGGCGTTACAGCTGTGGAGTTGTCGTTACGAATAGTAGCTTTTACTGAGAAAGAGATAAGCTGATGCGGCCGCCATGGGAGATGAATGTGTAGGGTTCTGATGATTTGTTTTTTTGGGCCTGGGGTACACCAAAACTCTCAATGTAAATTGGGCCTTACAATATTCAGTTTTGTTTGGAAAATATGGATTTAATTAGTTATGGTGAAGCTGGAAATAGATATATGTGGACGATTGATTTAATTTAGCTATATATGGAGATAAATTATTAAAGCTTAGATGGAGAGACAGCTGGCTGCTGACAGTATTTCAAAATTTACTGTGAAAATTTACGAGTGTGAGATGGAAATTGGTAATAAGAAAAATGGAAAACAATAAAAGTTAACATTAACATTCAATATAAAAAATAACAAACATATAACGACAATTGTAATGTGTTATCAGAAAATAAAAATCAACAAAATACAAAATAACAAAACAAAAAATAAGAGATACAATAGCTCTGAGTATTTCATGATTTAAAATGGGAATTTACAAGTGTGTGATGGAAGTTGGTAATTAAAAAAAATATTAACATTCAATATAAAAAATAGCAAACATAAAAACACAATTACAATGTGTTGTCAGAAAATAAAAAAAATCAACAAAGTACTTTAAAAAAATACTGATATACATTAGCTATGAGTAAATCAAGATTCAAGGCGGATTACGAGTATGTAACGGAAATTGGTTATTAGAAAGACGAAAAATATTAAAAAAATATTAACATTCAATATAAAAAAATAGGAAACATAAAAAAGACAATTGCAATATGTTGTCATAAAATAAAATAAAAAAATATAATATAAAAAACTAATAAATAATAATATACATTAGTTCTGTTTATTTCAAGATTCAATGCGGAAATTTACGAGTATCTAACGAGCATTGACAATTAGAAAGACAGAAAACAATAAAAACTAATATTAACATTCAATATAAAAATAGCAAACATAAAAATTTAAACTATAATGTGTTGTTAGAAAATAAAAAATCATCACATTCCAAAATAAAATAAAAACCAAAAATATGATATACATTAGCTCTGGGTATATCAAAATTCAAGATGGAAATTTACGAGTGTGTGATAGAAATTAGTAATTAAAAAGACGGAAAACAATTTCCAAAGAAAATTCAAATAGAAAATTCGGATAATGAGACAGGTTCGAGAAATTGCATTATCTAAAATCTATTGACAAATTCTCAATAATTTGTATGAAAGTCAACTTCATAATAAATATTTTGGGAAAATTCAGAAAAGTCGAAGAAATTTTAGAACATTATATAATTTTAAGAATTTTAACTCTCAAATGGATATTTCAGATACTAATATCACATATGTTATATTTTCTTATTTGTTTGAATTTAAACAAATAATTTTGAATTGATAACAAACACAATATAAAAATAATAAACAAATCATAAAATCTTCAAAGCTATATGATATAATAAATATAATATAAAAATTACATAAAATGATTATCAAATTCGCTGTGTTGGATAGATCACAAACTAGAGTTTCAAAAAAATAAAAAATTCGAGTCATATACAGATGAAAAATAAAAATTCATCTTAAAAATTTCAAAGATATACAATACAACAAGTATAAGACCTAAAATATATAAAAATAATTCATATACGCGCGGATCACTGACTAATTATATATATACCGGAGCAAATCCACAGCCACAATTGCCGTGTTCCTCATTTATTTTATATTTTAGCATCCTTAGTTATCATTTAATGTTCCTTCTGTTTGTTCTTTATTGCTTTTGCTTTGTTGATGTTCATTCCTTTTTGTTTTCTTTGGTGTGAGACTAATTTTCTGTTTTTATGCTTTCCAGAGTTTGTATAGAATAAAGGTGATCATGGGAAAGAGCTTTTGATATGTAGTCTGGACAATACCGAAACCAAATTGAGGTGATTTCACTGTTTTGATACTTTGTTTAGGCTGTTTTATTTATGTTTATGATTGTAAGATAAACGGAGAAGAAGATGACACCAACAAAGCTACGACGGAGAGTGAAATCTCCGCCGTGAAGGAAGAGTTAGTTTCACTGCCGGATAAACTATTTCACTAAACGGATCTGATTCCTTCGTCTCCTCCTCAGTTTCTAGAACACTCCACGGGTTTTGATTACCGGCAAAGCTTCACTGATCTCTGTGACATCCTACCGAATTCCACCGCCGTCCACGCTGGATCTTCCGACAGTTGCGATTTAAGCGCCGTTATGAATGAAGAAACCAGCTCCGATTATGGAAGATTGACGCCGCCGACGACGGTTACCGACGGGAATTTCTTACAGTTCGTGAAAACAGAGCAGACGGAGGATCACGACGATTTTTTGAGCGGCGAAGAAGCTTGTGGTTTCTTCTCCGACGAGCAACCACCTTCTCTTCATTGGTACTCCGCCTCAGATCACTGGACATGAGAATCGTTGATCGAATTGATCGATTTATTGTGCTCTGTTTACTGGTCCTACTTACATTATTGGGTCTGACTCTCACATGTTTCTTCAATGAGCAGAAGCAGTAGTAGATGAAAACAAAGCTATTGAGTTGGATCCCTCACTGGCCAAAGGCTACCTAAGAAAGGGTATGTTATTGTGTTTTTGTTGTTGTCTGGTTGATTAGGTTCTACATGCTGTGAGTGAATGGTCTAAACATTTTTGATGTGATACTTCTTTGTTCAGAAGAAGAGAAAGATTTGGTTCAAGCGTGCCATCGACTTTGCCTTCAAGCTCTACGGCGCCACATTTATTAGAAGTTGATCTTACTTCTGCCCCTGCAGCACCAGCCAAAGCGAAGTACAGGTAGTTTCATTGTTGCATACAATGCTATTTTCGAAATCGTTTCAAGTTTTAAGAATCATTAAGTATCTCATGCTCTTGATTGTTCAACAGACACGAGTTCTACCAAGAGCCAGAAGAAGTTGTGGTAACTATCTTTGCGAAAGGGATACCGAAGCAGAGTGTTAATATCGACTTTGGTGAACAAATTGTGAGTAGAGTGCAATCTAAGAACCCACCTCTACGAATGAACACTTCTTTGTGATTTTGTGTGTTTAACTTCTTTGTACCGTTCTTGCAAAAGCCGATATAATCACATGGGCCATCCTTGAACACGGCAAAGGACCAGCGGTTTTGCCAAAGCCAAATGTCTCATCAGGTTTTCTTCTTCTTTTAGTTTTCATCTGTTGAGCTTTAAACTACAGTTCTCATGTGAAATCTTAATGTTGTTTTGTGTAATGGTGTGGCAGAGGTTTCGCAGAGGCCTGCATATCCTTCTTCTAAGAAAGTTAAAGACTGGGACAAGCTGGAAGCTGAAATGAAGAAATAGGTCTGTCTCTATATCATCATCATATGCTTAAGCCTGAAACTAATCTTTTGTTGTTTCCTTTTCTGTTTGTTTAGTTGTGTTATTGATTTTGCAGGAGAAAGATGAGAAGCTGGAAGGAGACGCAGCTTTGAACAAATTCTTCCGTGAGATATACCAGAGTGTGGATGAGGAGGATACGAGACGTGCCATGAGCAAAACATTTGTGAGTATCATATCTATATTCACTTTGATATATCTAAAGAGAAGAAGCCCACTACGATAAATATGTCAGTGTAATGGCACATTAAATGACATTAGTAATGGCACATTGGTAAAGAGAAGAAGCCCACTACGATAAACATGTCAGTGTAATGGCACATTAAATGACGTAATCAGAGTATAAAAAGGTAGAGAAAACGGGGTGAGGGAATATGCAAACACAGCATAATATATATACATACACTTCTCTATTTTCACATCGTGAACTCATTTCTTTTATATTTATACATTCGTCAAAGCTATTCCCCAACTTAATATACAGTTCATAGTATATGAAACACATCATTAATCCTGCTGAAATTTGTTTTTTTTTTTAATAAAGTCCTCCTCATATTTGTTTATTTCACCTTTAGTGTTGCACTCGGAATCTTCCATTCACAACACAAGTACACTTTTAGTTTAGAATCACCATTCAATTCAGAAACGTAATATTCTTATTCTCCATGATATGCGAATGTGTGACAATACGAAATATGCATTCACCCTTTCATTCATCTATATGAAACAACGTGGTATGAGTTTGTTAAAATAAATCATGGTGAGTGTGTGTATCTTAAAGCCACATGAGGAAAAAGTTATGTCTTAAAATACAGAATATCATTTGTCGACAAAAAAAGAAGAAGAAGAATATCATTTGTTTACTATGGTTTGTTTAATTGTTTAATTAAATCATGTTGCTGATGATAAAACATAGTTATTATTTTCTTTTCATGGTTTTTAATCTGGTTGATTGATATAAGTGAACAAAAAAAAATGATTAGTGTTATATTTGAAACAAAAGAGGAAGTGTAAAAGCAAGCGATAAAGAAAAAGACAAGCTGATAAAGAAGAAGTCAGAAAACATGAAAGAATATAAAGATAGAGGCAAATAAAAATAGGAAGATTGAAGAATAGACATAAGATGAGGATGATGAAAAAGTAGAAGGAGGAAAAGAAAAATGATTACAAGAAGAGGAAGAAAAACTCAGAGGCCAAGAAGAACAAAATGGAAAAAGAAGTTGAAGAAGGAAAACATAAAAAAGAAAACAAAGAAAACCTAAAAGAATAAGAAGCCAAAGACGGATAAGAAGAAGAAGGAAAAATTGGAAGGATAGTTAATCAAAATCAGAAAATTGAAAAAGATGAAGGAAAATACGAAAAAATATAGAAGACGAAACAAAAGAAGGAGAAGATGAGACGAAGAAAAACCAAAAGCATAAGAAGTTGGAGAAGTTAAAGATGAATGATAAAGACAACAAACGGAATAAGAAATTTTTTTTTGAAGGTGATGGACAATTTAATAAAGAAGAAATCAGGAATATAAAAAGGCTGAAAAAGATGAAGTGGAACAAGATTTAATCCAATATGTCTCTGTAATGTATTGTAACTTATTTTATTAAAAATATTTATGGTTGAATTGCATCATTAAATGAATTACAAAGAAGCATAATAATCTACTACATCCTTATATAGAAGAATTTTTTAGTTTTAAAAATTTGAATACATACAAATATAATTTGCCAAGTTTTTTTTTACTTTTTGTTATTATAATCGAGCTTCTGAAAAGATCAATACACGCGATTCAGAAGAGAAGAAGAATAAAAAGAAAAAGGAGATGAAGATGAAGAAGAAAAAGAAAAAAACGATGAAGAAAAAATCCAAATACTTAACAAAACGAACACATCACAACTATGATTTCAAATCGACAATTCGGTCTTACATGCGTTTTTGTTCTGAAATGATGCTTACAGATTTACTAAATATAAATACAAAACAAATGTCTTTGAGTCCTTCGAGCCCTTCGTGGGAAAAAAATTATTTCGATTAATCTAAACCATTTAATTTAATACGGTTTGATTTCTTATTAAAATTATCGGTTTGTATATTAGGCTTACTTTGGTATACATGTTGGATGGGCCAATACAATTGTTAAAACAAAGAAGAAAATTAAAGTACATAGAAACCCTAGATTGTAAGTTGTATAAATACTGAAGTCATTAGGTTGATTTTTTCACCGACGTTGTATTTTCTAAGCTTTCGTTTGTTTAAGTTCCATAATATGTCTTCTCACTGTCATAATGGTTTTTTTCGGTTCTACTGGTTTTTTTAGGATCTAAGTTTTCCGTTTTTTGGGAGATGGATATACTTTTATGATCGATTGTAGTTGTTTTGTTGATATATTTATTTTGTTTAAAGCTCTGACGTGTGTTTAGTTGCTTTGTTTCAATGATCCTGTCGTGGATGTTCAAGATGTTTTCCTCGTGTCTACTGGGATGCCGATCTACTGAGTATTTTATGAAATTTTTTAATTCCCCAAAAAAAGAATTAGGAGATATCAAGAGGATTTTTTTTAAAAAAAAAATCTAGGTTTGTTAAATTTTCTTATTTTCTCAATTTTTGGACTCACAATCTCTTAAACAAATGCAAGTCGAATTCAATTGTGTATGAAAGAAAACAACAACAATAACCAAAACAATATAAGAGAGGAAGTTGAGAATGGAAAAATTATTTATTTTTACTATATTTTTTTATTGAAAAAACTATGATTTTGAGTGTTTTTTGTTTTTGTTTTTCTTCTTTTTATTATAATGAGATGTTTTTGATTTTCATTAATTAAACTAAATTTTTAATCTCGATATATAAAGAATAAGGATCCAAACATACAGATAATAAGAGATCTGAAAAAAATGATAAGATGCATCTAAGAATCAAATAACCGATTAAATTTGATTTCAATCATTATATCAACTAAAACAGAAGAAAATAATAGGATATTAAACACATAAGGGATACAAAAAGGGTTGTTTCCTTAAACATAAATATTTCATGAAATTTTTACTGTTTTCGCTCAAAATAAATGATTATGAGGATTTTATGCAATACACATACGAAGAACTAAATATCAAAATTTTGTTGTTTGGTTTTCTATTATTAATCCATGAGAATTGGGTATGTCAATATCCAGTGTCATGTATCAGAGAATGAATATGTAGAATAAGAAATCAGAAAAGATGAGGAAGATAAAAATGAATGGTAGAAGAAAATGAAGAAATGAAAAACAAAGGAAGATGACGAAGAAACATGAAAATAATGAAAATAATATGTTGTAGGAAATGAAGAATAAAAAGAATAAAAAAAAAGAAAGAATAAAAATCAAAAGATAAAGAAGAGAGGAAAGGAAAGGGAAAGATAATAAAGAAGAACTTTGAAAAATATTAGGAAAAAAGATACAGACAAAACCAAATAAAAAAAATGATGAATAAAATAAAGGTGATGAATATGAGAAAGGTGGATAAGAAAAAAATGAGAAAAATTAAGGCTTTTGTTTGAAGGCTTAAACCCATGCGGTGAAGCTCTGTTTTTGTGAAGTTGTACACATAAATAGTTTGTAGGGAAATAGACAAATTAGAGTCTTGTGAGACGACTACTTGTGGTATTCATGAGCATTGGGATGAAGAGATACAAAGCAACAAAGTTAGGATTAGTTTGCTTTGTCTCCAAGTTGAAATCATGTAAAGTAAAGGTAAAGAAAAATTTGTTGGAAATTAAACCCCAAAAACCTTTTGATGTTGAATCATTATTTAACCTTTGGTCAGCTACTGAACCAAGGGGTTTACACCATATCCTAAGTTTAAGAAGCATTAAGTTGTCTTAGAAAGAGATTTTTTAATTTGATACTTCTATCAAAGACCTTAAATTTATAGGCAGCAATCTTGTGTCTACGACTCTTTGGCTTCTGTTAGCATTTATAATTATAATTTTTAGTGGGTGGACGTGAAATTTAAAACCTTAATTTTAACTTTTAACATTGATTGAATTGATAAATGTTTTAATTACTAATCATAATATACATAAGATGACACATTTCTAATTAATGACATTCATAAAAATATACAAATCTACAGCAAATGGAAGTGTCAAGTTATCAGATTTTTTTTTATCTATAATAACGGGATGAGTAACCATAAGAAGAAGTAAAATTATATGATGGCCACAAGCAACAAGAGAAATAAAAGCAGTGAATTTCTTGATAAAAATAATGATATGTAAATCAACTTCAAGATTGATCAAAAATTCCTTTGGTATTCGCTACATCATTATCTTGGATAGAATGATTTTTTAGCTTTAAGAATTCGAATCCATACATATCTAATTTGACAAATTTTTTTTCTTTTTGTTAGTGTTCATGTTATCAAAGTCGAGCTCCAGCAAAGTCCATTACACGTCTTTGACAAGAAGAATACAAAGTAGAAGGGGAAGAAGATGAAGAGCAAAAAGACGAAACAAAGAAAAACAAGAAGAATAAAAGGGAGAAGACGAAGAAGGCAAAGATGATGAAGAAAGATAAGGAAGATGAAAATCTGGAAGAACTAATAATAAAAAAAAAAGTTAGATAACATGAAAACAATAAAGAAGAAGAAAAATGACAAAAAAATATGAGAAAGATGGAATGGTGGAAAATAGAGAAAAGTTAGAAGAAAAAAGGCGAAGTAGAAAAAAGAGAAGACGTTGAAGAACAAGGATATAGACGAAGAAGAAAAATTGTAGGATTAATGCAAGAATAAGTGGAAGAAAAAAAAGAATAGGTTGGTGAAGACAAAGACGAACACGAACACGATGAAGAAGATGAATAATTACAAGAATAGTTGGAAGAAGAAAAAGAATAGGTCAGAGATGACAAAGAAGAAGAATTTAGAAAATACGAGTAAGAAGACAAAGACAAAGATAAATAAAAATAGAATGAAGGAGACAGATAAGACGAAGATGATGAAAATAGAAGAAAGAGAAGGAAAAATAATTAACGAAGTGAAACCAGATGAAGAAGATGAAGAAAGATAGGGAGAAAAAAAAAAGAGGACCAGTCTGAGAAGACGATGAACTATAAAAACTGAGAAGAAGAGGAAAAAGAAGAAAAAAACAGATAAGATGAGGATGATGAAAAAGTAGAAGGATGAGAAGAAGAAAAACCGAAAGAAGAAGAAGTCGGAGGATAATAAGAAGAAAACAGAAGAAGGAAAAAAC